CTAAAAAGTTTAAAGTTTGGCTGATTATAGTTTGGTATTTGTTTGTTTGCTAAATATGAGATCAGATGATGACTTGTGGTTCATGGTCAAGGGACTACATTTTACTGTATCTTAAAGGACCAGTGTGTATGATTTATGGTCATTTATTGACAGAAATTGAACATAATGTTTATAATTACTTCATAAAACTCGGAGCCCCTCGTATCTACCGAAGGAGCAGGTTGAACCGCCATGTTTCTGCAGTACGGACAAATCAAATATCGGCTCTTGGACCTTTCATGTTTTTATTACCTGACAGCCATAGTAGTTTCTCTCGAACGCTTGGAAGGTGAGCAATAGTAAGTTGGCAATCTGGCATCTGCAACCTCACTTCTAGACGCAACTAAATGCTACACACTGGTCCTTTAAACATTTTGTATATTAGACTCTATATTTCAAAAACCTGATGTCTCATGCAACAGTGCTTCGATGGAAATTTAAACAACTTTAAACTCAAATTTACACAAATTATGACCTTCTAAACTGAAATGTCTCTGTGTGGCTTGTATTGGGTGCTTGCTACTACAAATTGATGTTTACCCTAAAAATCAGGATCCTTTAATTGGATATAAATCACAGAGAATTAATGAAAACTAGTATTAAAGCTTCATAACTTCATAACTGTCTGAAATTTTTTTCAGTCTACAGATAATATTTATCTATTTTTTTAAAACATGCTTTTTTTCCTCTACAGCAGATGGAGATTTTTTAAAGCTGTAGTGAAGCATATACTATTTAATTGATCTGAAAGCATGAAATCCCTAAAAGCTTTGATGGTTTGGCACATAGTACCATCAGAAAAGCCCATTAATCCTCATTGTTTCTGACCCATTGAATTATCACTATTTTACCAAGTGAGTCCCGGGTTGTGGTATCATTAGACTAAATCTCTGTGCCAGAGCAACCGCGTGTCTATGTTATGTAACAGGGGTTAGAGCATGCTGGGAATTGTATTGTTTTTAACTGGTATTTACAGTATGTTGAAGCTGTAAACACCTGTGAGGTACAATGGAAAACAGTTCTTTGGATGGCCTGATTCCACCGTTAAGATACATTGTACTTGATATAAGAAAAAATGTTTATTACATTTAGAAAACTTTGAGGCTTAGGTGTTTCTCAGTAACAGACAACATGCACTTACTGCTATGTCCCTCTGGGCGTGTTGGTTAGCTTAACTCCAGGTTAAGATAGATGACCTGTACATGTGAGAGTTTACTCTTACTGTACCAAAGGGGGCTGTTATAGTGAGGTTGCTTTTATTACCAATTTAAAATTAAAATGTGTTAATGGGGGGTATAATTTCTGTTTTGTATTGTTTACATTCATTTATTCAACTGAAGCCAGTATAGCAGTATGGAATAACGTTATTGGTTATAACTGTTTTGTCACAATGACCACTGATAATGTGTCTCTGAATTGTTAGGTATCAGTAGAATGCTTCATCTGATTCCATCGTTTGGTGTACCAATGGACAAATGTCTGCAGATGTATTATGTAAGCCTACTGTACCCACATACCTTAAATTTGATAAAATATCAGACAACTTTGTACTTTCTGGGAGTTGTTTTGTCTCTCCCTGGACACTGAGTTCACAGAAAAAGTCTGTGATTGTCAGACCTTTTTATATTTAAAAAAAGTTCTAGACACCATAACACCTTAATGCTTATGCATTAGAGGCAAACAATGTAAAATTATAAAATGAGGAAAGGGGAAAGACAAACAATGTCCCCAAAAATGAACTCAACATTGTGTTCACCAAAACCTCTGGGAGACTCAATATTCAGCTTCGCTAAATTGATATTTACTCTAGAGCCATTGTTTTTTAAGCTGTATTGTATTGTATTAAAGTAAAGGGTTTTATTTTGTCAGCTTAAACTCAAGGTTTAATCTATTTTTATTAATTTTAAAGTGGTGACAATCAAAAATGTATTTCTGCCAGAAACAGCTCAATTCAGTGACAATGATGACAACAGCTGATCCTGATGTTACATGTTCTTCTTATATGAATGCCATGCAAGTATGTAGAACAGGACAACATCACATAGCATCCTTCAAACAGGTCAAAACAGGACAGAAGACACCAAAAACAGAAAACCAGTAAGGCACGCATGTTGCATGCTGTTGCTAATATGTTTGTCTGTTCATGCTTAGTGTGTGGATGTAGGTTAATATTAGGGCATCAAGAGATGTTTAAGTAGTAGTTTAAAACAGCAAAAGTGTTTACACATTGCCTTTGTATTCATCTTTTAGGGTCCTTTAGAGTGTTACCAGAGTCAGCTGAATTCCTGAATGTGTAGGGCAAGCACTCACAAATATCCGTCTTCAAATTTCCTGTTCATTAAATCAATAGAAACAGTCGGTGAGAGAGATTTGGGGTGTTTGGGGCTTTTTTTTTATGCAAAGATGTGAGCAACAATTTAGCATGAGAAAAAGGTTCATAAAGAAGATCTCACGATCTGAATTACAGATCGACATTACTGACTTTCTTGTGTGTTTTCAGTGTTATCGTTAAACTAATTTATTGTTAGACTGCCAGAGCGAACCACTATCAAGATCAGCGTTTGTTTTCTGATTTGCGGAAATATATTCTGGGATATCACAGCTGTAGACTTGTTCTCTGAGTGCGTCTGATCCATCTCAATGTGTATGTGTGCTGGATTAGGATGGCTCAGAACAGATTAGTTAATTATAGACACCTGCTATCTAAGCGTGGTGTGTGTTGTCAGGTGTTGCAGCATGAGGTTGGCTTGATGCTGAGGGGAAGAAGGTGGAGCCAGGTGTGGAATTGCATGGACGAATGCTTTGCCATGTGCTCTTAGATTGTCTCCCTCCTCCCTGTCCAAGCTCTGAGAGCAGCTCTGTAATGGGAATCTTCACACATACTTCACAGATATAAAGTGTCACCTACTCAACACACTTACACCCAGTAACTCTGTAAACTGCAGGGATAATACCGCTATTTCCCACAGCTGCTATGTGCTAATACATATATTTTACACTCGCATTGGCAATGTAAATGTCGGTTTCCCGTGCCAATGAGGCCCCTTTTAATTAAAATGAATGGTATTTCAGTAATTGATCACGCTACATTAAGACAGCTGGAATTCGACTCTCTTTAATTCTGACCAAGCAATCATTTGATTCCCACGTCAAGGGAGAAAGCAGTAACATGCTCAAGCTGTCAAAACAGCATTATAAGGACTAAATTTTACTGTAGATAAGAATTAATATGGCTCAATGCCATTGTAAGAGGCTTCACAGCATCATGACTGACCTATAATAACCAGATAGACCAAATAGCAGCATGATGACTGTCAAAATGTTAAAATGGCTCCAATGACATCACACACACCTTGGTAATTTGGTTGTCCACATAAAAACCCAGTCTTACCAACAGATCATTAAAGAATAAATGCTCCCATGGCATCACAATGACTACATGTACAATGGCCCTGTCACTTTGTGAAAGTAAAAAAAGCCATGGTCACGCACTTTATGACTAAGCAGCACTAAACAGCTGCGTCCCTACAAATGCCTTAAATCAAGGTCTATCTCGCTGCTGTTGTTGCTATGCAAAGTTTTTGCCAAACAATCTGGAAACACAAACAAGATCTTGTGTTGTCAGAGCAGCAGAAGAAACATTCAGGGTTATGTTATTGTATTACAACAAACATACAATTTGGATACTCATGAAACGTTCACATTTGCCTCGAACAGCTTTTTATTTGCCTTCATCCAAATTATCAAGTTATCTCAAGCAATCCAGTGTTGGTTTAAGCTGAGGAACAGAACTGACTGAAGCAGCTTGCATGCCAAAAACTCTATTAAAATTGGCAAGAAATAAGAAATCTAACCCAAAAATAAGCCATAATTTATGTCTAATTAAATACTCAAAAATGTGTAGCGGAAACAGCTGCAATCAGTTTTTCTGTTTTGCTCTTTTGCTCTCATAATCAAATTCCATTCTGCTAAATGAGTTCTCCTTGAAGCTTAATTTGGAAGTTATTGTTTACTGTGAACTTCATGCTTAAGATTAATTGAGAGCCAGTTAAGAGAAAGGTGCAGATTTTTTGCCTTTCCCTTAACTGGCTCATATATTAAATGAAGCATGCAAATAAACCGAAGTGCAACCCATTTAACATAAAAAAAAATAACTCCTGAAGACCTGTCATTTGTGGATTGCACATATAGATATATATGCACAGTTTATTTTAAATAATCCACATTGCGGCACAAATGAACAGTGAGCATTTGATCAACCATTATAAAGTGTTGCTTGAGACAGATTATAACAGGAAAATCATATGAAAGTCTCTATTTTCTCCCCTTGAATGCCACTAAATTTATACATTTGGTCAGTAGAGCCAAAACAAGCACACCCTTGGTAGCACAATATCTCACACTTATCCCATCATGACACCAGTCTGCGTTAGAAATTAATTATGGGCTGCAGCTACTGACAACATCTCCAGTGACTGTGTTTAGCCAAGTTATTTTAAAACTCACCTTTTGAAAGGGCTGTACAAAATAAAAGCTCTGCAAACCATGCATGTGTACTTCAGTTCTACAAGTGCAGCGTGAGGGCTGAGGAGAATTGTCCAGATAAATATGCATTCATTCTTTTGTGATTTATGAAATCTAACAAGCTGTTTGAAATACCCCAGCACAATTTTTTCAGTGACACAAGACTGAGTTACAGAATTTAACTCAACATTTTTTATAATAACATTATCATTATTATTTAACTCATTCAGGACCTTCTGAGATTTGATCTCTCTGGACATCTAAAGCAATGTAAATCTTTCCCTCTGGAAGGAAAAGTAAACAAACAAAACTAAGCAAAACAGAAACAAAAAAGGAAAGCAACAAGGATTTTCACTTCCTTGCTAATCTTAGCAGGCTGACTCCACCCCTCGTGTCTGGCAGACTCCTGTCAGACCTCCAGGTTAGTCAGTTTACCTTTACGCACCTCCTGCGACTCAATGAGCAAGCATCTGTGAGAGTGGATATACATCGAATGCTAAGCGAGAAGTGATCTGCAGATTGTTAAGGACTAAAGAGACCTTTCTGAAGGGATAAAATACTTTTTGGAGGTTCTGACTGGATTTAATAATGCATAAGCCATGAATCTGTTATTTTTTCCACTGACGCCGATGGCTGTGTAGTAGCTCTCCACAAGTCCAATTTCAATTCCAAGCAACATAACAAACGACTGGTAAGCATTATTAGTAGCATGTAGTGGTGTGGTAGTAGTTTTTGAAATGAGTCATCAAAACAATGACATTGAAGAGGTGCCATCAAAACAATGTTCAGCAGCTCCTGTGCAGAATTCCCTTGATAGCTGAATAATGCATCAGTGATGCACAAATAGTTGTGGCCTATTGTCTATTATTATACAATACACTATGCTATAAGGGTAAACTATGACAGTTTTATATCTGCAGTAGTACTGTTGGAGATGCAATAATAGAGAAGTATGATGTTCTTCAGTATCTGTTCAGTATTTTGTCATTGCTCTTTTAGCACAACACATACATCCTGTACTGTTTGATCCTTTTACATCAGCTTCACAATCAGAGATCTTCATAGTGTGTATAATGTGTGGTTTTAATGCTAAGAGCATACAAGAAATCCCTCACCTTAGGAAATGTAAAGTTTCTTACTCATAAGGAGTTTTTGGTTTTAAATGATCTATTCCATGCTTTTGGAGTGGTTATCTGTAGACAGAACTTTAGTTTGAACTTTAAAGTTTGGTGTTCAAATTAGTAATCTCCTGCATAACAGCCGTCAGGCGGGTGGTGATGACACCTTGACTTTTCCTGGGAAGCCCCTTTTCTGTTGCATAACTCAATCAGTTGTGTGCTGCAGGTGCTAATTTTATCCTCTTTAAAAGGCTTAAGTCTCAATTATGCTAGACAGTCGTGATTGACTTGGCAGTTGTTCTGTCCTCACCTTGTATGTTTTCTGTTCCCTTTCATGTCTTTAACAGAAAGTAATACAAAAATTTAATTATCCATTATGTTATTATAGAATAGTATAGTGGAATAGCTTTATATTTATATACTGCCTATAATTGAAGCTTTGTCTCCCCTCTGTTCTGTAAATTACTTTTTATGGATGAAACTTTTCACTTAATCCACAACCTTTGCCGAGAGATGCTTTAGTATTTTTCAGTTGCACTTGCTGCCAGCATTAATATTCCAGGTGTTCGAGTCATGAAGGTCGAGTGTGTCCAAATGACATGGGCATTTGCTGTTACGTAACTGTGCACGTCTGTGCTCTACAGAGGATTTAAAGGCTGCACAGGGGAGAGCTGATCTTTAAGTCAAAGAGGCTTTACGCCAGACCACAACAAACCTGAGATACTTGTTGCTTCAGTGATATGATGAAGCAGTAAGATGAAAGAATGGGTCGTAGGATGGACAGGATCATTATCTGAAATTAACATCTCTAAGCAATTAACTTACCTACATCCAGGAGACTCACAAAAAACATGAAGCCAAATCACTGACCACATAACACAAACACATATGAGTATATATAAAGTATTTGCTTGTGAAGAAATAAAAATTGCCATTAGAGAACTTTACAGTCAGGTTTTTTTGCAGTTATATTTTATTCAACACTGAAATGGAATATCTCAAATTATCATAAATCACTATGCAAAGACATCCAACAGAAGCAACAGCAGCAGCAGAGGGGAGGATATGAGTAACAGCTGGTGTTCTGTTTACTCAAATGTATCAAGTAAAAGTGGAATAATTTGTTTAAAATGCAGATTATAAACAGGCTCTTTATTAATTCTGTGCTAATTGTTAGGGAATGTCAGTCGCTAATTATGAAAGGCCATCTGCAAACTTTTTACAAATTTGCATGCATCAAAAATGCAGAGTATGCAGAATTAACTGAGTCTAATCATGTGTGCATGTGCCCTCATTAATTACTTAATGACACTTTTGAAATAATGAACACTTTTTAAAACCTAGTAATCTTGTATGCAATATTGTGTATTCAATCACTATTGGTATTTTTTGTAATCGCCTACTATAGATAGCACTCTAACAAAATGCCATCATAACACAATTTTTGCTTTTTGGTAGTTGTTGACCCATTTTCTCCCCAGTTTGCAATCACCTGTTGCAGTAACTATAACTGTGTGGCTAAATCTGGCACATTCACATGGACTCAAGTGCTCATGTTTATTAATGTACATTGTCCCTCCTAAATAAAATGAACATTGACATTATTTATTATATATGCTTTCTCTTAGCTTCAATTATTGATTTTGATTACTAAGCATATCCTCCCCTATGTAATCAAAAAAATATCTATCACAGAAATTCATCATAGTGCAACTTAAAAATAGTAAGTAATGTCTGTCCTTCTTCACTTCTTTCAGTGCCAACAAAATGCAGAAGCAAGTGGAGGTCAGGATGGATGAGAACCACCTGGAGCCCAGAGTGGAAACTCCTGAGAGTGCATGTGGCGGGGTGTGTGATAAAATCATGAACAACATGGTTCTCACTCTCACAATCCTCGGTAAGTTTTTGGTCCTGCTACTTCCATCTGCAATCCAGCCATTATATATACTCCCGCTTATCCTGTTCAGTCTTAGGTCACCCAATATGCATTTGACTGCTTTGAAAAAGCAGTGACAAGAACACTCTAGATAGGTTGTTTGTCCATCACTGCACTAACACACTCTCACAACAGGCAGACAAACACATTTACCCCAACAGGCAATTAACCTTACTTGTCCCTTACATATCTTTGGACTGGGGAGCTGGAACATCAGGAAAAAATCCACCCATGAGGATAATATACAAACTTCACTCAGGAAGGCGCCAGTCTTTCAAATACAGGACCTTCTTGCTGAGAGGCAATGGTGCTAACCATTGAGCCACTGGTGCTGCCCTGCGTGAAGCCAAAACATTTCACTACATGCCATTTAAATATGAAGATGGTTCACAGCTTCTTTCTTGATGTTAAAAAAGCAAAAATTCAAAAGAGGAGTTTCATGATATTCTGTCTTGCATTTAAACTATACTGTAATACAGCGAAGTGAGACGCTACGTTAATACTTCAGTTGAATGTACCAGAGGTAAACAAGGAAAAGGTGTATTTTCAACACTTCTTTTCTACTCTACATCTTTGGGCAAACATTTGAATCAATGTCATATTTTCTTGTTGTCATTATGAAGTGTATAGGTATTGTCATGGCACTGTGACTTTTAGATGACAGGTTGTGACATTAATTAAGACTCTCATGAGCAAACTGTCAGATTTACCACATCATTTATTTCCCACAGATGTTGATATTTTCTCATTTAGACACTAAGTGTTTATGGTTAATATGTCATGCTTTAGAGTAACCTGATGTTGTGTTTCATTTGTGTTTTCTCACCGGCTCAGGTGTGTTTCTGGGTTCCATTTCTGGAATGCTACTGCGGCACATATCACCTCTCCCTCCTGATGTTATTATGATCATCGCTTTCCCTGGAGAGATCCTAATGAGGATGCTGAAGATGCTTATTTTGCCTCTTGTTGTTTCCAGTCTGGTCACAGGTGGGTGAGGTACAGTAGTTGCTGCAAATGTTCCGCTCAATTTGTTAACAACTGCCCTGAAATGAGGTTGCATGGTGCACGTTGTTGCTACCTGGGAGTTGAGCTGCAACAGGAGAGATGAGAGAGTGGGCAGGTTTTTCAGGCATTATCTGTATAGACAAGCAATACAGATGCAAGTAAACAGATGTTATTGTTTTTCTAAAATTAAAACAATTTTTTGTGAAAATATAAACCTCTAGCTCAAAAAAACAAAACTAGGACAACAAATTCTACTGATATACAGTAAACAGACAAAGAGCATGTTGATGAAGTAGGTGTCTGGCGAAGGTACAGAGGGAATCCAGTTATCGGAGGAGGAGGTGTAGCAGGCAGCCCACAACATCGTCTGTGCCCCTCTTACCCCTGTAGGCAAATTGGAGGGGATCATGTTTTTAGTTAAAAATTGGCAGGATGGTGTGAATCAGCAGGGCAATGGGGTGCTAATGATTGAGTTCTGTGAGTCTGGGTTTTTTGGGGGACTGGGATTATTGTTGGGGTTTTTTCAGAAGGTGTATTGTGGTAGACTGGTAGGATTCGCAGAAGAGAATACGAGAGCATTCCAGGACACAGATCTTGAGCACCCTTGCCGCTATGCTGTCCGGTCCAGGGCCTTGCCTGGCTTACGCCGGCTAAGATGGCGCCATATGTTCTTCTATGAAAAAGGGAGCCAACTCATTGGGAACCAGTGGAGGGAGTGCTCTCAGCTCTGACTGTCTAAACAAGTAAAAAAAAATGAGCTCAGTTTAAGTGGTGAAATGATCTGTGTCAGATGATGTTGCTGGACTGTGTTTGGGTTCACATCCAGTCAGGGTATTCATTAACTAGAAAACCTTATTTAGTGTTCATGGTACCAAATCCATGCTCCAGTTTGTCCTTAAATTTCTCCTTTGCTTTAAAAACTTTATTTTTTATCTTGCTGTTGGCCATCCTGTGAGTAGCCCAGTCTTTATGCCTGAAGAAAAAGACTAACTTGATTGAAAAGTAGAATTTGAAAACCTTGAGAGTGCACACAACTTCTAGCAAGCATCCCTTACCAAACTAAACCATCAGTAAACAATTCATGTGTTGAAGACTGCTGTTCAGTATGTGCTTTTCAAAGAGTCAAGACATCAAGTGGCTCCACAAGTCAACAAATAGTGTTTCAATCATTTGCTGTTACACTGGATAATAAAAAACTGAACTCAAAAGTCGAGTCCAGCTGTCTAGCTAACTGAACATGTGTAATTAAGTTGAGTTGCTGACTGAGTCATCTCACTTTGGAAGCAAATCATATGACATTTTTGGGTGCAGAATTTGTTTTTCCAATATATGCACAATATGTCCTCACAGAATAACTAGTCACAATCACAATACCAGCTCTTATCACAATGAAGTAGGCCTTATGTGTGGAGTATTCACAGTTCAAATGCTTTGAGCTGGTCTGACTGGAAGGGCATTTGCAACTGTTTGGACAGGTGGAGGGGAGCTGATCAACTTAATTGTGATGTTTTTTTTAACTACCTGAAGAAGAGCTGAATGCACATATCTAAATCTATTGGCCCAAAACTAAATCTACTTGTAACTTTACCACTATTCGTCAAGGAGAGAAAACTATAACTCTAGGCTCTATTTTTTCTATATTGGACACTTTGTTCTTCATTATATCTTTCTGTAAAACTATGCCAACAGGACTGGCTGGTTTGGATGCCAAATCCAGTGGTCGCCTAGGCACCAGGGCTATGGTGTACTACATGTCGACGACTGTGATCGCAGCCGTCCTGGGAGTGGTCCTGGTGCTGCTCATCCATCCCGGTAACCCCAAGTTGAGGGCTGGTCTCGGACAGGGAAAGAAGAACGACGACGTGTCCAGCGTGGATGCTTTCTTCGATCTCATCCGAAATCTTTTCCCAGAGAACTTGGTGCAGGCGTGCTTTCAGCAGGTAGGAGTCTTAACAGAGGTTTTCACCCACCTTAAGAAGTCTGATTCATATGTCAGGTGCTCCAACTGTTTGTTCTTTTCTTTGCTTCTTGTTCAGATCCAGACAGTAATCACCAAAGTACCAGTGCCCACTAACAGAACCAAAGCACCTCCACAGTTCACTGTCAAAAGGTCGCTTCAGTTCAAGAGTGGGATGAATGTCCTGGGTAGGTGAAAAACACACCCACTACAAAACCATAAAGAAATAGCAGTTGTTGAAGAAAAACACAAGTTGTTTTTCATTTTCAGTTACATAATAACAAGGAAACACTCAGATAACACGTACCACCCCCAATGATGCATGATCAGATTTAATAATAGAAAATCTAAAAATGTGCAATCTGGCTCCAGATTTGTGTCAAATTGTATGCAGTGACAGACAGTAATGGGATACATTTGCCAGGTGTTTAAGTCAAGTAAGTTCAGCATTTCAAAAATAACCTATTCTGCAGTGTTCTGACTGTATCCATGTCAAAAACAAATCACTTATTCCCTGACTCATGGTTTAACTTCCCACCAAAGTGGATTCTGCTGTTCTATTTTTGAGATATTCTGCTAATAGACAAACAAAAAGACAGAGCCAAAAACCAAACCTCCGAGGTTGATGTAGGATGCCCAACTAAATTGTCAAAGTACTTTTTCGTATTATTGCAAACACATCCACACACCAAAAAAGGTGCATGTCCAATAGCTTTCAATGAGTAATTATCCCTCATTGTAGGAAACCCATTTTCTGTAAGACAGGTTTTTCCAAGACTAATTTAACTTTGCTGTATTCTGTGTCTTACAGGTTTGATTGGATTCTTTGTCGCTTTTGGAGTCATCATGGGGAAAATGGGAGAAAAGGCCAAACTGATGTTGGAGTTTTTCAACGTCCTGAATGAAATTGTTATGAAGCTCGTTGGCGCAATTATGTGGTAAGTGCTTATCCACTACAGGCATCTCTCCACATTCAGTGACATTGCCAAACCAATTCCCTCGGTTTTACTCTCCACAAAAATGATACTTATGCAGAGGATCCAGCAGCTAACATACATAATATATTAAAATATTAAATATATCCCATAGACATATATAACATACTATTAAAATACTCCTAAGCATAAACACATCCTATTTCTGTCTCCAGGTACTCCCCTGTTGGTATTGCCTGCCTCATCTGTGGAAAGATCATCTCCATTGCTGACTTGGAGGTGGTTGCGAGGCAGCTGGGGATGTATATGGTCACTGTGATAGTGGGTCTCATCATCCATGGAGGCATCTTCCTTCCGCTAATATATTTTGTGATAGTAAAAGAAAATCCCTTCACGTTCTTCATGGGGATATTCCAAGCTTGGGTCACAGCACTTGGAACAGCGTCCAGGTATGAGGGATTTCTTTCATTCCTGTTTTATATTCTAGGATTCAGACTGATTCAGACTTCAGTCTGAACATGGTGAGCACAGTAGGGCTGTCTCTAAATCAGGTTTCCTCTCCAGTGTGCTGCATGTTTTTGTGAATACTCTGATTCCCCTTTTCATCCTTTATTTCATATGGTAACTATGAAGTAATCTCACTTTGCCTCCATGTGGGATACCTTTCCTTCCCTTGATGTTTTATTAATGACATACTCTCTCCCCTCTTGATGTGACCTCAGCTCTCTCATGTTCTGACCTGTTCACTGTTCCACCATCTACGAGACAAACGCATAGGAATTATGAGACATAACCAACAAAACAACTGCTGAGTCACAGCTGATGTTTTCTCCATGAGTTTTACTCTTAAAGTGAATTCAAATGATAAGTTTTGGTTTCTTTATTGAAGTCAAACTCATGAAAATCCTATATAAGTCATTTTTTGTGACAATTAATAAATTATCATAGTTGAGACTGGATTTATTTCAGCATGAATAGAAGAATAGTGCAATTAATTTTAAACTATTGCAACATCAAGTGTGACCCAGTCAAATTAATTCTCAGCAGACTATAATTTGTTGTAGAGTTGTCAAGTTTTTAGTGCCAAATGGGATGCTTGGTTAGCAAAATGAACATCACTGCATGCTCTTTGTGATTATAATAATAAAGCATTTCTTCCTGTTCTATTTGCCACAGTGCCGGTACCTTGCCTGTTACGTTCCGATGCTTGGAGGAGAACCTGGGCATCGACAAGAGAGTAACACGTTTTGTCCTCCCAGTGGGTGCAACCATCAACATGGATGGCACAGCGCTTTATGAGGCTGTGGCTGCCATCTTCATCGCTCAGATGAATGGGATTGACCTTGATTGGGGCCAGATTGTTACTGTCAGGTGAGAATGTGACTACAGAAAGATATCACAACACATTTGTAAGGTACCATTTTGCCAATAAATTAGCCACATTCTATCAACTGGGTTTTAAATCATCCTGAGAAAAACAATTACTATTTCTCCCCAGGGGTACATTTAGTGGTGATGCAATCATACAGTAAAATGGTTTAAATACATGAAACCTCATGGATTCTCACAATCAATTTAATAAAGATAATACTGAGTTTTCTTGATTAAAGTTAGGCACTGTAGACTCATTAATCTCCTTGTTTAATTGATTAGTCATTTCAAATATATAATTTTTCCCTATTCCATTTTTATTAGAAATATAGCAACTGGATGTTCAAAGTGTATAGTGACAGTGGTATGTTGAGCCTGTGGTTTGTCCTCCTGCTGAGAGTGGAAATTGTCTCCTATTTAGTATGACAGCTACCCTGGCCAGTGTTGGAGCAGCCAGTATCCCCAGTGCTGGACTTGTGACCATGCTTCTGATCCTCACAGCAGTGGGGCTGCCCACTCAGGACATCAGCCTCCTGGTGGCTGTCGACTGGCTGCTGTAAGTTCAACATCAACACAAATATTATTATTTAAATAAAATATAGACACATTCAACACCATGATGGAAGGACTTTGGTTTTGTTTTCTTGTCTCCAGGTTTGTAAAAGTTACCAATGAAAGATAATCTCTCAAGATATAATTTTTACATAATGGTGAATTCCAAAGTGCTATATTCTAAAACCTTTGAGCTTCTTATTATATATTTTTTTCATTATTTACGTCTGTGCTACTTTTAATGTACAACTTTACAAGCTAATGTTAAGATTGTGTAGTCAATGTTTTTACCATACCCCCAGTTATTCATGGGAGCTTCACGCACTGAATTTTAAATTTTTTCCAACAATCCAGTCGAATCTGGCCAGAAAATCTCCCTTTTATTTACCATAAAGCTGCATACAGCTTGCTTGCCTGGTTGTACAGCAACAGCTTTCTGTTGATTTACACTCTTAAAGATTTAAATGGCATTCAGATTCAACCCAACATCGTCTGTTACATATTAACATTTGTCACTTTTTAATGAAACATATATGTATTCAATTTTCTGTTTGTTGGCAATTATCAGTATGTTTCTTGTCAGAGCAGCACATGTATACACAGACATGTCATTTATTTTTTACAGTGTAGTGCTAAACAGTAGTGGCCAAATCAAAACAGATGCTTGACTTTAATTTGAATGAACAGGTTTTTGCTAGTTTGTCTCATTACAGAGTGAGCATTGAGCATGTTCTCTAACATACGTTTCAGGGGTGTAAACGACTCTGGCTGTCAGGCTTTGATAACTTTTCTGTAATGTAGAGTTTTGCTGTGCCCACTCACTGACATCTCTGTGTTAGTTCAGAAACATAACTAACATAACAACAGTATACTGTATAATCCATTTGCAAAAAGACAGAAAGTGCTGGCGCTTTTTTTTTTTTTTTGCTCTGTTGGCAACAATGCTGACAATACTCAGCTGGGAATAAGCTGCTTGTGGTCTTGTTAACCCTTGGGCTAAATGATTCATATAAAAGGTGGAAAGCCTTTTATACATTTTAACAAATTAATTAACTGTGAATAACATATTCACATAGCATGGTAATCCTCTTCTTTGTCCTACTTATTCTGCTGTGTATTGCTGCTGAATCAGTGAAATTCTCTTCTCTAAATTGTGCTTTTTTATAAGTAAAAACCAAAAAACGGTTCTTTGTCTTTTCTACAACTCACAACTTAAAAATCTAAATGAAAAAGAAAAAGAAAATTCCAAAGAGAAACAAAAGAAAAGACTTTTGCTTGGTCCCTGTTAATTACTTTCCTGTATCTTGTATGCCACTTTCCTTTTTAACATGCAGGGATCGTTTCCGCACATCAGTTAATGTGGTAGGGGACTCCTATGGAGCAGGTATCGTGTACCACCTTTCCAAACATGAGCTGGACTCCTTCGACTCCCAACAGGCCCGGATAGATGACTTTGAGATGGCAAAGACTCAATCGTTCTTTGAAAATAACACCAACCAGAATGTATACTCTCACCACAACTCAATCTTGATAGACGACTGCAAGGTACATTTCACATTAACGGACATAGAGACTTGTATGTAGAGAATCCTCCCCAACGTTGTGTCTGTGTTTGTCTTTCTTTTCTGGTCTGTGTTTGTGTTTCTTTTCTATGTGACTTCTTAAATTAGTGTATTTGTGTCTATGTGGATAGTAAATGTCATATTTTCATTGAAGAAAATGATTTTTTTTTTTAAAGGGGTGAAAAAGCTAAATAAATATTTCTATATTTATTTATTCCCCTGTTAATCATATGAAAAAGCAGTTTTTGTGATACCAGGTTCATCAAAAGCAAAGTTTGTTCTTTTTTATAATATACTTTTTTTTTAATCCTCAAAAACTATGTTTAACTCACATGAAATCCAAATGAAAGTAAATGGATGTTCATTCTTACAACCATTCCAAATGTGTTGTCTGGTTGACAATTATATTTGACTTGTATTTTATTGTGGTATGTCTGGATTTTACTGAGAAACTGTTATTTTTTGTCTACTTAATTGGACATGTATTTGTGGCAGCCCTAACCAAATTACAGTTTTCAATCACTGGCCATCTTTTGGAAGAAAATAAGAAATAATAATCTAGCCAGTGGTATACATAAAGACTGCTGTTTCACCATGTTTCATCCAAAGTGATGCATGAAATGCCTATCAAAGAGCATTTCCTGTCAATATTGTAGTTAGCTCTCTAAATAAACAAGAGCAAATTTGTTGTTATTTTTAGAGAATTTCTCTAATGCAGTAGAATTCTGTTGATTTCATTGTCTGTGTAATGCAACTTTTTTATGCTAAAGTTGCATTCTCGTTGTTTCAGTATTGTAATTCGGTTGGGCAGAGAATCCATAAAATACATGGCCAACTCTGAAAAACTATAATTATCCTGGTTTTCATATAATCTTGTTACTGACAAAAACACTGACATCACTGTGTTATTGTATCAGTGTAAGAGATGACATGTATTTCAGTGTTGGGGATTAACACATTAACTCCACCCCAAGGTCAATGGCCTGAATATAATGAAGCAATGGTTTCTCTGCTCCCAACCGCTGACGGTTTGTAAATGATGGTGCCTTGGCCTCATAGTTAGACGTTGTTGATAATTGCTTACAGGTCACCATGGGCAAAAATGGCAAGACTGCAGAGTTCTCTCTTGTTGAGGAGGGACCATGGAAATGCGACTAAAGCAGATCCAGATGCTGCTGCGCCTTACCCTGAGTTCTGACAGCTTTTACTTTCTGCCGACACATCTATAAATAAACGAACAAAAAAATTATATACAAAAAGAAGAAAAAAAAGAGAGCGTTAGCAGAGTCAATCGTACCACAAGAACAGTCGGCCAGTCTTTCAGTTACCCATCCGGGTAGCTACTGGAGCAAACAACAGCTGACTCACCAACTTGTATTAGATCTTGCATTTGCACTAACTAGACACAACCTGTAACGAACTGGTGCATTTCATGCACTTTGCACAGAAGAATAAATCATTAAGTTGACAACACTCAGGGCCTTACTTGGTGCTGCTGCAAGCTTCCTGTTCTGTCAACAAAATAATTCTTCTACCTTGTGCAACATCTCATTTTTTTTTGTATTGAAGCATTTTTTTTGTAGCTAAAGGGCAGAGTGATGATGGTTGATGGATGGATGATGGCCTTGCTGGTTAAATTTAATACAAGGACCAAGTCAGAGATAATAAAGTTGGTGTAAATTAACTCAAAACAAATTAGCATATTCAGCTTATCAGAATTTGACAGATATTACCGAATCACTATCAACGCTGTCTTCTTAAGAAATGTTCATAAACACAGTTTCAAAAATAATACAAACTGAATTTATTGAATTTGAATGAAACAATGTTTAATGTGTGGCATCATGATGTAAGCACAGGTTGGTTAAACACTTTGACTGTTTGGCTTATGGGATTACACTTTGGCGTCGCACACATGGTCAAGCCTAAGAAGCAAAGATTAGGACTTAAACCATAAGAGGAGAGCATGTGCCCTCTAAATGTGGCAACAAACAGTACAGGATGTGTTTCAGCGAGCTGTAAAGCAGAAAATAGAGTATGTGAAAGGGTGCCCTCCCAGTTATTCATTTATTGATTTTGTTTTTTGTATACGTGTTCTTTATGAGTGAAGCACTGAGTTTTGGTTTGTAGTTAAAATGTATGCCTGTGTACAGGAATTTATGTGTGTTCATGTGTGTTTCTGAGAGCAAGAGAGGAAGATTAACAAGGAAAGAAAGTTGGCACATCAACAAGAGAAAAAAGGGTGGGGTGGACGTAGTGTGTCTCCAACTCTCAGCAGTCCAGTGCATTGCTCTGTGTTTTATTTCAAACTGTTTATTTCTTTGCTATATGACAACCTTGCCTTGACGATGTCAACTGCAGAGTGCAGTCAGTGTGATGACTAACACATGTCTGGATAAACGTTACCACGATTCATGTCAATAAAATGTTGGGACTCACACTTTAGTAGAAGTAAAGCTTCTCGACCTTACAGCTTTACTACACTCAGAGTGGAGGACGGCTGGGCCTTCCTCGCAAGATATCACTTAGACTTTGCAGAGTTTAGTTTTCACACAGCAGATTTGAATATAAATAACAAGCTTCGTAATTACATGTAGAGGTAATTAGCCATGGTCACATCTGTTTAGCAAGTGCACACTAAATTCTGCCTCGAGCACTCGCAACAATCTGAAGCCGTAACAACAAGGTCATTGGATGTTGGCTGAATATGTACATGTTTTTGAGTTCAACTCTGTATAGAAACTCTGTTCAAATTTAGGTGAAAACAGGATTATATATTCTCTTTTATATAAGCGACGGCTTATATATTCATGTTTAAAGTGCCTCCTTGCACTTTGTGTATATACTCTCTCTAGATAAAGTGTATAAATCATATGTATAGGATTTGGCATTTTATGTAATCTATCAGAATAGTTTTTGCTATGCTAAAGCTTTAAAGACTATAACTATATCCTGTATATGTAGTAATGTTAGTACAATGTTAATTTTCTTATTATGGGCCACTAGTTGTCTCAATGGGTTGTGAATTTAGGGTTATTTATCTACAAACAATGCATTCAATTTATCTACTGAGCTCCGAATGGTTGTCAGGGAAGAAACCCCAATATGTTTCACTTGTTTAATGAGTGAATGTTCTTTAAGAGTTATGAGCACATAAAGGCAATTTTTGTGCGATGAATATTGGTGTTGGCAGCTACAGTATGTCTACATGTTGTGAGACCTCCACAAGCCATCTAGTGTTTGGCTCAAGCACTGCCTTCCTCCAAAATGGAAGAGAGTCTTCCTCAGTAATATCCTGATTTATATCAAAAACCCTTTATCTATTAATAAATTACATCACTTTTCCATCTATTTCATTTCTTATTGGGCCTTGATCTATATGAGAATATGTTCTTAGTCAGCTGGCCTAGTGTAGCAAGTGTTTTCTATGAACATGTGAAAATGTACAATCTTTAGATAATAAAACATATATTTTCTATCGTTCTTTTTGATTCTATGCACATATTGAATGTGTTCAACATTTTCCTTGCATCTGACATTCACTGCAATGCAAAACTTATTTTGACTTTGACTGACTGCAAGCAGATTTGAAATTAACTTGTACTAAATAAACTATAACAGTGCACAATATTTGTCAGGCAAATGGACTGAAAGTGTGCAAATGTTTTAATACTGTGTAAATATAATGGAAAAAAATAAATGTTTATTGATGAGCTGCTGTTGTGTTTATTTCTCAGAGGAGGGTGGGAATGATACAGCATTATGAACATTCAGTAAGTGCATGTTGAAACAGCATGTCGAAGTGCTGTGTAGGTAGTGGGGTGAGCACTATTCAGTACAGAGCTTTCACAATGATGAAAACAGAGCATCTTAATATAAGTTACAATCCACAACAAAGTTTTCAATAATATTATTATATAGAGATTTGAAATAATATTACAACAAAGACACTTAAAATAGAACCTTTTCACCAGACTGTCCACTAACAGAACTGTGAGTATTATTACAAATATTATTTACAATGACAGGAAAACAGAAAATGAAACACTGTTTTCAGCTGTGTATGAAATAAACAGCATTTGTGTTTTTTACCCAGCAACTTTTGAATTTTACAGTTAATAAAATAGCTGATATGGAAATAAATACATCAACCAAAATATTGCTGTAAGTAAAGTTATGATAAGAGTTTTTGAAATTCAGATGGAAAAACCAGACCATTATTCATTTTCAAACTGGGCCCAGAGCTGTAGAGGTCCGCAGAAACTTTTAGATCAACAGCCCCGGCAGTTTTGTTCCTCTGATCAAATTCATCTGCTTCAAACACAGTCTTGTGGTTCCACAATGAATATCAAGACTCCAGAGAGTCTGTTTCTGAACCTCAGTGTGATGGATATTTCTCTGAAAGCTCATCCACGGGGATGACTGTGTACTCTGCTGCCTTTCCATTCTCCCTGGGCTTTTCTTTATGCAGGAATGTCTCCATCTCTAGCTCCCTCTGCTGGTTTGCGGAGTTAGTTTTGGTCTCTAGCTGGGGTGCTTGGCTTGGTGCATTCCACCTGCACAATAAGGAATGATGAAAATGTAATTATATGCTCATAATAGATATATTCAAAAATATTGTTTTATTTTTTCTGATATTTAACTCACTTGTCTCGGGTAGCGATGGCAACGAAGAGCATTACAAGTGCCGCAACACCAACAATAAAACCAACAATGATGATCCAACCTGGACATATGGGAGAGTAGGAGTTGATGATTTAGGATGGACTGTCTTAGGCCAGAGTTCAATAATGCAAACATCTGGATTGTTAAATGCATTTTTTTCTAGACTCACCTGGTGTAGTGTGTCCTTTATGCATGGCTGATGTAGGAACGACATTCAATTTATCTACGTCTAGAAAAAAACAGAAACAGAAAATCACAATAAATAATAAAGACAAATAAAATCAATTGTAGGCATAACTTTCGGGGCAGGTATAGAATATTTACCAATATTGGGTTGTAAAAGATCAAGACGAGAGCTGCGGCTGCGTTTCATGTCTGTTGATGAATCTGAACTGGATTTCTCCATGTGCCTTGGCGACACTGTGGTTGTGGTCTTGTCACTGGTTTCCCCAGAACCACTGCTCTCCCATATGTCGCTCTCTTTGGGCTGGACTTCATTTGGCACTGATGAAGACATAAAACCAGGCTGAGGACTTTGGATGGTCGATGAATCTGAACTGGATTCCTCCATGTGCCTTGGCGACACTGTGGTTGTGGTCTTGTTACTGGTTTCCCCAGAACCACTGCTCTCCCATATGTCGCTCTCTTTGGGCTGGACTTCATTTGGCACTGATGAAGACATAAAACCAGGCTGAGGACTTTGGATGGTAGATGAATCTGAACTGGATTCCTCCATGTGCCTTGGCGACACTGTGGTTGTGGTCTTGTCATTGGTGTCCCCCAAACCACTGCCCTCCCATATGTCACTTTCTTTGGGATTGACTTCATTTGGCACTGATGAAGACATAAAACCAGGCTGAGGACTTTGGATGGTCAATGAATCTGAACTGGATTCCTCCATGTGCCTTGGTGATACTGTGGTTGTGGTCTTGTCATCGGTTTCCCCCAAACCACTGCTCTCCCATATGTCGCTCTCTTTGGACTGGACTTCATTTGGCACTGATGAAGACATAAAACCAGGCTGAGGACTTTGGATGGTAGATGAATCTGAACTGGATTCCTCCATGTGCCTTGGCGACACTGTGGTTGTGGTCTTGTCATTGGTGTCCCCCAAACCACTGCCCTCCCATATGTCGCTTTCTTTGGGATTGACTTCATTTGGCACTGATGAAGACATAAAACCAGGCTGAGGACTTTGGATGGTAGATGAATCTGAACTGGAGTCGTCAGTGTCCCTTGGCAACACTGTGGCGATTGAGCTCTGAGCATGTAAAACACTTGAAGCTGTGGTTGCATATTGTTCACCTCCATGCTGGAGGAACATGGAGGTCATGTCACTGCTGTCTCCATTGCCCTCAGGAATGTCACTCTCTTTGGACTCAGAGGATGGCTGCTGGGTTGCTTGAACAGTTGCATTTCTTTTGGGTGATTCAGTTGTGAGTGAACTTAGAGAAGGGTTAGCAATGAGGAACCCATCCGTCACAGCCTCTCGATAAACATCATCATGGGTCACAGCTGGGACAAAGAGAAAGGGAAAAATCCACAGGTCACCATAAGTGTTTACCTACCAGCCCTGACATGAGCAGAAGGGAAAGTTTCCAAGCTTCTATGGTGTATTACAAAATTACCACACAGGGCTTATGTGCTTCGCCCCAAATTCTTGTATAAACTTGTGATGTGGTCTTCTTTGATGAGGTGTGGTGAGAAACAGTAATGATTAACCTGGGTGACTAATCATCCATGAGTTGGTTAACAAAAGAGAGGCAGCCTCATCAAAGCATCAGGTTTAGTAAGAGCATAACACACTTTTGACACACCCAGTACAACAGTGTAAACCATGACAGTTCTTTTTTCTGTTTTAGTTGAAGGGAAGGCATATCAGGCTTTTGTGCCATTTAGGAGGAAGGATCAAGAGGACAAATGAGAGAATGTGCATAATCAATTCATGAAAATATTCATCGTTTTTTGCTTGTTTAAATCTAAACTCCCCGCATAATTATAATACTTATTATTAGTATTATTAGCTTAATAATGTGAATTATATTCATATTTTATAGCATATTGTCATAACCATTGGTGGAAAGGAAGTATCTTGCATTTATTTCCATTGAATGTTACTTTATGTTACCACACTACATTTCAGTAGGAAATTTTGTGCTATTTACCTGACATCTGTAGCTTTTTAATTATATGCTTACAAAATACAAACTTTGTTGAAGAATAAACCAGTGGTTTCAAACCGTGTTACCGCTTACAAAACTTCCCTGAAGTTGTCAGGTGGTTTCACTTAAATGTCTATTTGAATATAAAAAATAAGACATATTTGTATTGCATAACTTTTGTTTTTCTTCTTCTTTATACCCTATTAATCATCTCATAACCCTTTAGATTTATGTGACCTTTTGGAGGCACCTGACCCCTAGGTCGAAAACCACTGGCCTTAGATAACTGTATGCAAAGTTGTTAAAACTAGCTACACCTCCATATAATAATATCAGTCATAGGGACCATTTTTCGGCAAAATGAGTGCTTTAACTTTTGAAACTTTAGATAGATTTTTTTCTGATAATATACAAAACAAAAATCAGGTAAATCCCAATAAAGTAAAAAAAGGGTTAAAATAGTTAATTTAGTTAGTTAGTTAAAAAAAATAAAAAATGTCCACTCTTCATTTCTGCCCAGTCATGTTCAGCTCCACTGTTCCTTATGAAGTTACTGGTTGCCCAAACTTGTGTAACAGCTCTATGCTGATCTTTGGTTTCACCTTACACAAGAAATACGCATTAATGCACCTCCTGGAGCAGCTCAGGACATTTTACAATGATCGCTGTGTGTAATCTGGAGGTGCCAGTGAAACCTGTACACCGGCAATGAAATACTACTCTGGCATTCTTACAGAAAGAGTTAGACCTGAAACATAAAGAGCATCTTAGGTGACAGCGGGGGAAGTGCTGACTCACAGGGTAAGAAAAAGGAAACCATGGGAATTATTGAAATTTCAGAGGTCTGTATAGAAGAATTGCAGTATTTGTCAGACTGCAAAACTCATGACTATGGTCTTCTCAGTCCTGAGGTGGAAGACTATCATTTCCCCAAAGAATTCCATTAACCAACAATAAATATATTACATAAGGTTATAAGCAGAAGAACATCTACCAGAATTTGGATCATAATTTTAAAGTTAACCCTAAAAGACAACACATATCAAACAGATACTCAGCTAAAAGTGAAAGTGTTCATTAAAGTGTATAAGAGTGATTAGCTGTGAAAAACAGGATAAAATAAGAAAAAGGACTTTCACTTACTATTAACAGGTGTTGAGTGGACAGCAGCAAGAAGCCCAAGAATAACCCCAAAAAGAAGATTCTTCATCTTTATATTGGAAACTTGTGATGGAGCCATATACTCAAGTAGTTAACTGTTGGCGAGCTGGAACTATTTGGCACACTAACCTGGCAAGTTGAAGCAGATGAATCATGTCGTTGCCTTTTATACACAGCAGGAGGGTAGGTTTTACATCAATATAACAATGACACACACACAGAGGAGGGCTGGCACACCTGTGAGCACACCCTCTTCGTCACACACTTTCTCACGGTTTTTTTTCCTTCTTCCTCAGAGACAGCACACAAACACTTGCGACAAAAAGAAAAAAAAGTCCATTGTTAAGGAAGTTGATTTGCTTTCAAATACTTGCTGGAAGAGGATGGACAACATAAATCAGATCAGATGTGGCTAAATGACCCCATTTACCCTTTCAGTTCAATTCAATACAAAATGAAATGATAACAAACACTTATGAGGCAAATTCATTTAAAGAAATACCAGAAAAAGCTTCTTCTGTTGTTTTCCTTTGATACCAGTGACCAGACTCAAACAAACAAACTACAAATAATTGTACTTGTTAAGAGTAACAGGTACAAGCATTCTTTCACCCCCACAGCCCTTTCTCTTCTGAATGAGTGAGTCCCAGTGAGTGTGTAGTGTAGTTGTGATGACATCATGATAATGTTGATGTTGATGTTGATGATGATGATGATGTCTAGGCCATTTATGATGGCGAGTATTGATGTCAGAGATGCTGATCATCAACATGGCTGTAATCACTATGCACTTTATTCCCACCTTACATATTTATATGATCATAATATGCCACTATTTAATTCGCCTTGTAATTTTCAGATGTTATTGCTAACCATAGGATTGAGCGAGTACTCAGCTTAAACATGTATCCAGTACAGATAATGTTATTTTTATAACTATGAGTATCATCAGAGTAAAGTGTGTAAATATGTGTGAATGTAGTTACTTTTATAAGAGAAAATTATTTTAATAGTTGTGTTACTTTTTGTAAATAGTTTTACACATAGCATCTTCTGATCAGCCCATTTCAGGCATAAATTGCCAACTTCCAGTTAGCCCCAGTTTAAGCACTGCCCATTCACAGTGCTGTTTAGAATACATTTAATTAAGTTGGTTGAACAGATACAAATAATGGTGTACTCGCTCATCCCTATTTGTTGGGCTTCTAACTTACTGTATTCAGGGCTCCTCCCCTCCTTATTATTGTATTGTATGTCTTTATTTTATGTATTGGACCATGCCTTCCTGTAAAAACCAGTTGCCCTCCAGAAACAAAATGAAATTGAAATTGAAAGATTATATAAGGAGTGGAATGTTAAATAGAAGAAACAAAACTGAACTTTCCTGAACTGAATCCAGGGTCTAAGGACAAATCTTGAACATTGTACAAATTGTAAAGCCCCCTCAGTCAAATTGTGATTTCTGACTAAATAATATTTTCTGTTCTATCAAGTTACTTACAGGTTACTTACTCACATATGTCATATTCAAAAAAGAAGAATACGAAGAGAAGCATAAGATTGCAGGTCTTCATGTCAGGCAAGACAGGTTTGAGACACACAAAATATATAAACAAATGCAACAGACCATGATGAAGTTCAAACATCACTTTAATTGTGACAAGAAATTGAAAGCATTATGCACAATGTGTGAAACAGCATTCACGGAAGTATAAAATATGTGGCTGACAGTTGGGAAATGCCTTGGAAACAGCTCAGTTAGAGACATGATGAATTATGTGCGGTTCTGGAGATGCATGAAACAACACTCCCTTTTTCATCAGTACTTCCTTATCATTCTATCTTCCATCTCCATGTCACAGGAGAAGCATTTCAACACAAGAATCTTTTTTTTTAAAGTTTAAAGTTTTTTTTTAAAATTACCCGACAAATTTTGCCACAAACGCAGATCAGTATGGTCTCCCTGCAGGCAGTGTGTACTGTACAGAATAACTGTTGCCACTCGTATTTGACGGAAATTGATGCGTCACTGCAGAGCTTTAGCCTCAGGCTACCTGGCGTGATCATGACTTTGTCGTTGGCCGTCATGAATTACTCAGTGTGTGTGGGTGAGCACTTGTCCAGGCTTGCACTCCACACCCAAAAGAGGTTCATTTCTGTTACTTTTAACACTGGAATCTTACAATACATTAGCAATGATGCATAAGAGGAATACCCTCAAGGCTCAAGCACAAATCTTGGTTTCACAAGCTTGCAGTAGTCAGCTCCCACTGGCTAGACACTGCTAGTGATTCAGTAGCTTATTCAAATTATTCACACAGTGTGGTTGTCTAGTGATTGTGTAGGTAACGGAAGTGGGTCTACATGTTATATTATGGGACAAGTTAAATTCTATGAGGCAAAATGTGGGGAAGTCAATGACACTTTTGATAAAAGATTAAGAGTTTTGTCAAATTATTATGACATAGGTCCAACATTTACCTTATAATTCCTTATAAAGTATTGCCCTTTGAATACTTGGGTTGTAATAAAACTTTGGAGCAGTAAAATAACATCAGTAGTTCAAGAAAAGGCTGAGATGTAATGATGAAGGCTAACTGGCTATGTGTTTCATCATCCTGCAGACTTCAATGGCTTTTCAGCTAACAAGAGGGTGAATCAATAATGACTGAATTCTCATTTTGGTTGAGCTTTTATTTTACATTTTGAGATATTTGGACTAGTAGCAGTATTTCACTTTGGTTGAACATTTTTCATTTTTCAAAAGCAAGCCTTGATATGAAGCAGTGAACATTTGGCCTGGGGTATTGTCAGGTTATTCTTCAAAAATACAAGTGCATTTAAATCTTGAAAAGCGAAACAGCCTGAATTTCAAAACATGGTGATACACTTTAGTGTTCATAATTTTAGTGTTCATATGTTTTTGCAGGACCGTCCAGACACACATCCATCTCAGTATAACTCCAAAATATGAAACAGGGTTTTCTCTGTGTTCATGTACAGTCAAATGTATAAATGGATAAACACTTGAAAAGCAGCAGAACATGGGGTCTTTCAAGGGCAGGTCCACTGGGCATGTGCAGGGCAATTAGCAGCTGCTGTAACAGGCTTCCTCCCTCCACCCCGCTGTTATCTCATGTTTCATGGCAGCCACCATTGTTCCCATCTCCAAAATCCCAAAGCAACTGAGCCCAGCGACCTGTGCACTGCAGTGCTCACGTCTATCACCACCATGAATTAAAACTAGTCATAACCTTTATCACCTCTATTTTACCATGGACAAATAACCTCTTCAGTTGGCACATTTCAGTGTCTGATTAATAAATAAATATAATAGCCTGTATATCTAATGCTGCCTCTCACATGAAATTAAGTTTTGTGGAGGAAAAGTTGTGTTGTTAGGGTTAGGTTGCATGACAGCTATCCAATTGAAGTGGATCCAAATGAAGAGAAGGATATACCAACCCAAACATGGAGGAAGCTAAAGTTTCAACTGAAATGGAAATATTACATTCAATGGAAGTCTTTAAAGTTGATGCGTCATTACTTCTGCCAAGCAGGTATTATCCTATTACAAGGATGTTTTCTTTGACGTTTGTTTCTCTGTCAGCGGGACGGGAAAAGTACTGGCCAAATTTTCATGAAACTTGGTGGAAATTTGTAGCACGGGCCAAAGAGACTACATTTTGGAGCAGATCAGAATCAAGGAGTGGTTACAAAAATAATTACTTGCTTTTGTTGTAGCTGAGCTTGCAGATTTGCATATCAAGACCAGACTACTGGCCTTGGCAGAAAGTCTGAGCTCTCCGAGTGCCCGTAATTGTGTTTGTTATGACAAATAAAAGAAGCTGAACTTTAAATTATCCTGAATATATGTATTCTTCAGTTTCAGAGATGGTCACCACAAGTTTCTACATGACTACCCAGTCTAATCGCAATTAAAACAAATCGTGTTAAAGCACATTGTTATGTCAAGTCACTGAAATGATTATACTTTCTTTGCACAATTAAAACGTTATGGTACAGACAGAGTTCAACAAGGGTATTCATGTGGACAAAAATCACAATTAATGGTACTGAGCCAAATGAGCACTGGCAAATTTCAGGCACTGCAGGGGAGGATGCGAATAGGCTAAAGACAGCATTCAAAGTCAAAGTTTGAAATTAAATGAAAAAAACCTTTTACATGAGCATGCCTCTTTCATATCAGTCAGACAAACAGAGAGGCTTTCCAAAAGTGTAGTAATGAGCCTCTCCTCTCCCCTGCCATCTTTCTTCTGGAACCTAAATCAACAGTTTTGTCTGAAATCAGTTCCCTGGTCAGTAGGTGGTGAATCACTGTGCATTGAATTGAATTCTAGCACACTGGGACACTGGTGAGCCAATGACCCGCAAAACAACTGAACTGTAAAACAAATAGTAATAATAAAAAATGTGAATAATGTACACTTCACCTGCTGCTTTCAAGGGAGTTGTGGTAGAATGCACGGACGACACAGCTGCAATTAACTGATTTAGGTCAGCTATGAGTTAGCACTGACAATAACATTGTAGTCATGGCTTGTAAACTGTCACCACTAAATCAAAGTTAAACCTTCATAATATAAGCAGAACTTGTGTTCACTTTGCTGTAACACTATCTGCATAGCTATGGAACCTCATAGCTTGCCGCTCATTGCATAACAGCAAGAGGAAAGCAGGTGGCAGATATTATGTTAAGTTATCAAACAGCAGTAGGTAGTGTAACTTAAGGAGAGTTGTACAGAGGTGTTGACAACAGAAAATCTGTGAAAAAAAAAAATAGAACATATGTAACCATCATTAAAACCAAGGTTTGAATTCATGAATGTTGCAAGACTGGCAAAGTCATTAGGTTTGATGTACTGTTGCTGTTGGAAGGCAACCTGTGGTACTTTGTTCTTGTTGGCAATTTGTTTCGATAAAAGGGGGGTATTGTTTGGTGTATAGAAGAAGAACTACCTACTCAACTGGAAACCACTCTGAGACACACCTAACTTTTGTATCTCCATGGTGCTCACTGTTTAAGTGATGGAGAATGAGAGCAAAAGACAAACGTCTCTTCCCCAAACCTGACTTGGCCAGACTTATCAGTTTCTGACTTGACTGACTTGATTTGGTAAGTTATGAAACCAT